CATCACATCACATCACAACACAGTCATTATCATCATCACCACCACCACCATCACCTCCATCACATCACATCATCATCATCACCACCATCACCATCACCTCCATCACATCACATCATCATTATCATCATCACCACCACCACCATCACCTCCATCACATCACATCATCATTATCATCACCACCATCACTATCACCATCACCTCTATCACATCACATCACAACACAGTCATTATCATCATCACCACCACCACCATCACCTCCATCACATCACATCATCACCACCATCACTATCAACATCGTTATCATCTCCTCCACATCACCATCTTCTTCATCATCATCGTCACCACTACCATCACCTCCATACATCACATCACGTCATCATGACCATTACCACCACCACCAACATGAATCCCCCTACGATGACATCACCACTAGTATCACTTTCAACCACCACCACCACAAGGATTATATATGTACTTTATCATACCTGAAATTCTCGTGTACCCATAGTCTAGATATGCTTGTCTTCGTGTCGTGAAGGTCTTTATTGGCTCGCAGAAGACCTTGGAAGATCTGGCATTTAACAAATAAAACAGTTACAAAACAGAATATGTTTTGTTCCATCCCATTTACTGCAGTTTTCATAAACATGCGAACTCTATGTCTGCGAGATGCACGCTGAAATTTGGTTTTTCGCTGCCGTCAATCAAACCTAATCAGTCGGTACCTTTCGTATTTTTGACTGGCGGCAGCGAAAAAAAAACAAATTTCAGCGAGCAACTCGCAGACACAGAGTTCGCACGTGAATGAAAATTATTGTATAGAATGGTCTGAACCCAGGTGAAACTTCGATAAACATCTATGAAAACTGCAGTAACACCCCTCACATGATGAACTACATCAAGCACTATCTTGGTGGTTCGTGAACAGATCAATCTTTCCAACGACGCAGTCCGTAGTAGTTTTATGCCGCTAGATGTTCAATGCTTTCGGTTACCTTGGAAATGTCTCTCAAGTTGAACAAGTAATGAATCTTGGTAGGTGTTGGTAACATCTTGGCCACGATGGTGTTATAGATATCAATGGTAGCCTGGAACAAAATAACGACAGAATCACAGGTCACAATCAGAATCATAAGAACCAAATTTTTTACACGAGCAAAAAAAAACAACGAACAAACAAACAAACAAACAAAAGCAAAAAAACAAAAAACAAAACAAAACAAAACAAATTAAAATTAAAAAAAAAAGAAAGAAAAGGAAAGAAAAGGAAAGAAAAGGAAAGAAAAGGAAAGAAAAGGAAAGAAAAGAAAAGAAAAGATGAAAGAGAAGGAGTTACCTGAGTCATGATATCACCAAGTGCTTTGACATCTTCTTCAAAGTCCTGCAGTTTCTGGTTGATCATGGTGCCGAAGATTCGCTTTATCTGACTCTCTTGAGGGAAGGTCATGTTGATCAGGTTGAATCGACTCTGAAGTCTCTTGGAGATCACCATACGACCACCACCAGGAGGTCCCATGGCTGCCAGAAGATGCATGTCCTGTAGTGGAATACACAAGACGACTGAAGATTTGACATTGAGCCGCAAATGGAATATTGTATTATTCTGGGAGAGGGAGGGGGATTGTTTTGTGGTGGAATACAGAAAACGACTGAAGATCTGACATTGAGCCGCAAATGGCACAATATATTCTGTAAGGGGGGGATGCACGTTTTGTGGTGGAATACAGAAAACGACTGAAGATCTGACATTGAGCCGCAAATGGTACATTATATTCTGTAAGGGGGGGGGGGKGCGCGTTTTGTGGTGGTGGTGGTAGAGGAAACAAACACAAACTGAATATGGTGCACACAATATGGAGTACACAAGGGGCCTATTCCCTTCTGAGGGGAATGGAAAGGAGAAGGACATGTTAGGAATTCCATATCCTGAATGATTTGTTCATGGAACCCACAAAACCCATATTACTATTTGTGGGGAGAAGGGAGGGAGAGGGGAGGGTTCGTTGAAAGCCTACCTTCACGTGTTTGATGGTTTGTTTCGTCCTATCATACCAGAATCCATAGTCTAACCACAGTTTCATAAGCTCGAGTGGAGGCTGCGATCCAAACGTGTCTTTAGCCGGCATGTTGAAGTCATCCATGAAGGTGATCATTTGTTTGCCGCCAATCGGTACGTAGATGCCTGAAAACACAGTAAAAAATATTAGAGAGTTTTAGATTGACTTTTTTTCTCCCCGCAAACGGCAAACGTGACCACGTTTTCATCGTTTTCCTGTACTTTACTTTACCTTTTACAAACCTTCTCACCAAAGACAAATATTCTTTTGTTTTTCTACTATTTGGACTTTTTTGCGATACTTTTTAAGCTATTTAAAATAATTTTTAAATGGTCAACTGACTTTTCACGTTTGCCGTGAATGCAAATCTAAAACTCTCTATTAACCTACGACTCACGTGGCGCCACACCGCAAGGCAAGAAACCCGCGGGCGACCCTGAGTACAAGATGGGTAAGGACTGAGAATGAGTGAACGTGTTAATCCTTGTTCAACTCACCTTTAGTCCTCTTCTCAACCTTGCTCTCAATGATATCCTGCACGTTATTGGAGGTGGTTTGAGCAGACATGTTGATGACCAGTAGACTGTAGATCTTAGGGTCTAGGCGCTGCAGTACCTTCTGAACGACTGATGTCTTACCAGTACCAACAGGTCCAACCAGTAAAACCGGTTGCTTGGCTTGGATTAGGTTATAGACTAAGAAGTCATAGCGAACGGTGTCGACCGTTGGTACCATTATCTTGTAAAATGGCACACTAGACAATAAAAATAACAATTAACGATGAACATGCTCATAAAAAGTATAACCTAGGTTACGTGAGTCCGCCCTGACTGGTCACGTGATCACAGCTGCACAGGACATATCACATATCAACTACAGCATTGGATCACAAAACGAAATACGTAATACAATTTAGGTCATGTCACGTGATCGTTTTCCCGCTGTTTCCCGCTTCCCGCCACATTTAGAACTGCCACAATGCAAAGTTGAAGAATTACCTTGGGTTGTATCGCCAGCCGGCTCTCAGCTTGTCTTCCCATGATGCCCAGGTCTTCTGCTTGATGTCCACGTGGTATTCATACACTGTGTCCTGTTAAACAATAGGAATATGAACCAGAAGACCCCAAAACACTCCTTGTAATAGCAGATACTATTGTAATGACCCATAAGCCTCGCTTACATGACTTAAAAAAAGTATTTGACTACAGACCGAACTGTGATAAAAGCTATTTAGAACATCTACAACGGATGATTTAATTACCTTTGCTGGGAACTGTCCTTCCAGTTCTCGCAAGAAGTTGTCCATCTTCTTTCTGCTTTCCTCGTCGACAGAGGCGCAGATGGACCAAATCAGAGAGAAAAGAAACCAAAGTTCAATCATGCGGACATAACTCTCGTCATGAGATACAACCTGTAAACATAAAAAAACTGCGATCAAAACAAACTCTTGCGTAAAGAAGATTGTGCACGACTGGGGAACGCTAAGAACGTATCGTGTCCTACCTATGCGATACCTTGCGATACTCGTGCGATACTCGTGCGATACTCGTGCGATACTCGTGCGATACCCGTGCGATACCCGTGCGATACCCGTGCGATACTCGTGCGATACCCGTGCCCTACTCGTGCCATACCCGTGCTGAGCTGCGCCATATCATGATGTGTCATGATATTTTGCAATAACACGACAGTTATTTTAACAAAACAAGCCGTTTATCTCGGAACCTGCTTGGCAAAGATGGGACACTGTTCCATCGCGAGCGCATTTCGAGTTCAGTTCTCGCGCGCTGTCTGCGATTGGTTCCCCCAGTGATGTCATTCCCATTGAGCATGCCGTCATTCCTCAGCTCAATCTTAACAAAAACAGCGTCATAAAGGTAGCTTAACTCACCCCGTTGGCTTCAGTTGCTAACGCATCAAAGAGAATACATAACGAGGCTACAGAATTAAGTTCTGATGTAGGGATGGGTTCTTTACAGTTACGTCGCCTGAATTCCAGTACTTTTGGAACAAACTTCTCGAACAGCCGTTGAAGATGTTCAATTGATGAGCGGTCTGTGCGTCTTTCTAACCACGAGTCGACGTACGGTTGCCACCCGAGGTCCTTGTAGTCGGTGTATACCATACCACAACGACTGACAGTGGCTGGGGAAGCCACGGCAAGATTCTCGACTTCAAACAGTAGAGACACCTGAGTAATAAGAGCAATAACAAGTGCACAGATTAAGCGATGTATAAATAAAGGATTATAAAACTATCGCATAATAATATAAATTGACATTCATTCAAACATGCAATACATATGTTTGAAAAACTGAAGGAAAAGCAGTTAGTCACTTCTCGGACAGACAGACAGACAGACAACAGACAGACAGACA